TGTAAGATCATCTCATTCAATAAAATAATTTTTCTGTTACACCCAGAAAAAAACTAATTTTATATTCATTCTCCAAGAATAAATACCTCTAAAGATACTGAAGTACTTGTTCCCTTGCTAAAAAAGTCTATATAGGGGCCGGGGTGATGGCTCAGTGGAATAAGCACTTCCCTGGCAAGTGCAGGGTCCTGAGTTCAATCCCCAGTACTGCAAAAATAAATAGATAGATAAATAAATAAAATTGTTTTAAAAAGTCTCTATATTAAACAAGCATACTATCCTTAAAACTTCTCAACTAAGGAATATATATTAAATCAATGGCATAATCACTTGAATGCATGTCCAATGAAAATAGAGGCATATTTTATTTTCTGTGATAATCTATAGTATTTAACACAAAGTTGACAATATGACAAGTACCTGTCTATACACAGATATTTTTCTTACCAATATTTACTCCCTGTATTAGTTTGTAAAGGGACTCTGATAATCTCTAGATTGTCCATCAAACTCAGGACATAATTCATACTAATTTAAAAAACCAGGTAGGCAGGTGTTATACAGTAGTTTTGACACTAAAATAGTCTTTCTACTTATTCAAAATCAGCAATGAATATACACATTACATATAGTATCTACATAAAAATATAAAATAAAGAACTTTAATAAGTACAGTAATTTTTAATCTTCAGAAATATTTTTGCTATGATGTTGTAGAAGGAAAAAAATTCTTGAAAATGTCAGTTGCTTATTAGATATTTAAAGGAATGCTAACATATTTGTGGGACTGTTTGTTTTTGTTGTTGGGGACAGAACCCAGGGCCTTGCATGTGATAGACAGGCAAGCACTCTATCTCTACGCTAAACTCCTAGCCCCTGAATACTGACATAATGGCACAAAAAAATGCATAAGATTGAAACAAATTTAGTACTAAATATCAATTTAGTCTTTACAATATACAATACTTAAAAAGTAATATTTTAAAGATTTTTTTCTTAAATGAAAGCATCATGCTATTGTCTCCAAACAGTTATAAGATCTGTAATTTTTGGAAAACACATCTCAAATTCAGACTAGCAAGCCTTAGGTACCTTTTCATTGTTAATGCTAACCAGATTATTTGATAACTGATTTAAGTATCCTTATGGGTCAATAAAACTATTTTGAACCCCCTTAAGGCACTGGCTGTATTTGGACACTGAATGCATTCAATCATTATTATATGAGAAGAAAATTACTGTACCTAGATCCCACAGCACCATCTCCAGAGTCTTGGCTTCCAGCTTCGCTTGGTGTGCTCACAGATTTTGAGGATGGAGACATAGGAGGAGGGACTAAATAGTGAAATAGACAGGTATCCGCTGTTACTACACGGAGAGGTTGCTCAGCTTATGACGTTTCAAAAATAATTTAACATGAAATAATTAAAAAGGAAAAAAAAAGGCAAACCAAAAAAATACATGAATGAAAATGAACAGTAGAAAAGAAAGGGGAAAAGACAAAGTTAACAATGCATGCTGGAGATTCATGCAATTTCTCTGGCAAAATGCACTTGGACTTTATATCTCTTAAAAAAGGGCAAGAGTATGAAAGGATGCATCTTTATCTCATCCGTCACTAAATGTGGCCACTAATTTTCAAAGGAGAGCATTCCTTTTCCTCTAACTTTTCACTTTGAAGACCACCAGGTTATAAATATTATTACAAAGGCTGCCAAAATTAAAACACTGAAATATACTTCAGTAAGTATTATTTAATCACTGGCTTTCCAAGAATGAATGTTATTTTTTTCCCAAAAATTAAATTGAAAATTACTCCCCCTCAGAAAAATGGTAATTTAGAGAAATAACTACAAGGAATGGCTCCTTTAAAATGTCTATTAGTTTCCAGCAATTTGGATGAAAAATGCAAACAGGCCATAAGCCAGCATGCCTTCTGGACATGATGCATAACATAAAGTGATGCATGCAAATTAAACAAGGCAAGATTTACAGTAACTTCCTTACCCCAGAATTCAGAAAAAACTGAAGTGTACAGACAAAGATACAGACACCCAAAATAATCTTAATCCCTTCTTACAGAAAAATACACATGTTCATAGTATATAAATAGCAAATGCTTTCTCCTAATCTGTCACTTTTTAACATTATGTACCAGCAACTGAACGTGCACACTCATGCTATGACATTTGGAAAAGTTTTTGATTACCGTTGCAGGGGTAGTACAGGAGGATCATCACTGCCATCTTCTGGTTACATTTTACCATACATTTCCCCAATCCCAAGTACATTTTAAAAATAATTTTTCAACGTACAATGTTAAGTATCTAATACACTTTACTTGAAGTGAAAGCCCTTCTTTTAATAGACTTCAGAAGAGAAGGTAAGCTTCTAGTTATACAGCAACTAAAGAAATATGTATTACATTAAAATTCTATTAGTGGAACAGTTGCATTCATTGAACTCTGTAAGTCATTTTATACATTCTGCAGTAAAAACAAAGAGCCTGATAATTTAACAAAATGTACAAATATAGTATGAATTCTATTTTAAATACAAGTAAAACTCATTATCCTTTATTTCCTCAATAGCAAATTCTACTGGTAAACAGTAAAAGTAGATGAAAAACAACCATAGGTAGAATATTTTTTCCCTGACATAGAGGGGTTTATTCTTATATGGTTCTTAAATTTCCCAAATTTGCTGTCAAATTTCAAAGGGCAATGAAAACAATGTTTCTAAGGCTGTTTACATCTATCAGAAACAATTATAATGTCAACTACAGATGGCTTCATATAGTTCCTGTGGATATAGCACCTTGGGGAGGGGTGCCATGCCTATGATTCAAGGTAGCTAAAGGGATTTGTAGCCAAAACAAAAGAATATTAGCATCTTCTAACTTCTTTTAGGTTACATTTCCTCATCTTTTCATCTATGTAGCACTGTGAGGCTTCCTCTAGACTAATTCCAAACTGATACAGGAATTAAGAGTAAGAGCTTATAATTCTTGAATGCTGTAAACATTTATATATTAAATTAAATCACAGTATGGTATCATAATGCTTTCATATTAAATATTTTTTAAAAATAAATTTTCTTTAAATTACATACTCATACTTAGAAAAATAATTTTTCCAAGTATAAAATTTGAAAAATTGGAGACAAATAGTAAAATTCCTATCAATCTACTTATGTGTGATTAACTACAGAATCCTCTTCCTATTTAATAGGCTTGTTTCCCACTTTTTGGTAATTTAAAGTATTAATGATTCCACTCAACAAGTTCAACAGAAACTTACTTCATTAAGGCTACATTTTAAAAAAATGTTCACTAAATTCTTTACAGAAACATGTCATACAGTATTGTAAATACACAGATTACATTAACTCAGCCAGTTCAGAAATAATAGCTTCAGGAAAAAAGAATAAGCCAAAAGGGTGATGCTATCAAATTATTATGGTTTCTCAGTCAAAAAAGGGAAATAAATCATTGTGACTTTATGTTTTTAAATTTTGTCTTTTGAAACAGGGCTTCACTATGCAATAGCATAGGCTTGCCCTGAACTCAGAGCAATCATCTTGCTTCAGCTTTCCGAATAACGGAATTACAGGGGTGCACCACCATGCCTGGCCCATGACTTTAAATCTGTATTAGTTAAAAAAAAAAAAAAAAAAAAAAACTCCATCCTAGAACCTCAATGTTTGTGCTGAAAGACAGTTTAAAGCCAGATGGAAAGGACTCCATCAAAAGACTCTTAGCTACCCTCTAGCTCACCAACTTCATGTTGCAATAGTAAATAATATATATAACATAGATGGGACAAATGCGGAAGAAGAAAATTACTATCATTGTAAAAGGAGGAATTGCAACAGACAAGAAAGGAAAGTGTAGTGCTCTTGGGTGACAACATTTTACCTAATTAGTCTAAAAAAAAAAAAACAAAAAATGTAGCAATTATGCAATATGGTAATACTACTATACTCAGACTTTAACAATCTCCTGAAAACAAATGAAAGCATGAATTCCAGGAGATAAAAGAAAAACATAACCATGAATGAATGAATGAATGAATGAGAAACCAAAAAACTGAAATCACAGATTCTCAAATTTAAGAAATTCACTTCTGAGGATAGTTTGAGTTCAATCCACTTAAAAAAGAACACAATCCATTAATAAGCAGATTTGCTACGATTTGCTTAATAAGAACAGAGATTCAACCAGATTACCTTTACTCTGTGTATAAAATAGGCTAAAACAGATTTGGCACAAAATAAAGGAATTTAAGCCTCTCAGAAGTTTAGAATAAAGATATCACCTATTTCTCCTTAAGAACCAAAAAAGAAATTTGAACTGAAAAAAAGAACAAATAAACACACACATACACAAAAACTGTATCATGGCATTCACTAACCATGTAAACAATACTGAAAAACTGTGACTCTTTAATTCTTTAGAATAAAAGGACAATTGAGAAGACCTTTCCTGCCAGTTAAAGACCCTGGCCTTTAAGGCTAAAAAAATTGTACTGCTGTATGGGTCTTTTGGCCCATAAAGAAATAATCACAATGTTTTAAATTGTAAAGAACTGAGAATGCACCAAGATTTGGAATTAGCATTATGTCTAAATCAACCACATAGAACTACAGATAATTCTTAAGGATGTGGGCGTGGTATATGTCCCTAATTATTTTTCAAGTAAAAGAAAGCCTCTGGCAAGAAGGGGTTTTTGCCAGAAAGACAGACACAGAAAAAGGAAGCAGTCAAGGAGTGTGAAGGTAAGAAGCATAGGAGCCTTGGAAGAAGACAATGAAATGGAAGTGAGCTAGAATAACCAAAAGTTGTGAGGTCTCTTCTAGTTTACCAATGATACCCAGTACTCAAATGCAGCCCATATTACAATTTATGCCCCCTTGTGGATATAAATGCTTCTAGCCTAGAATACTATAAGGAACCAATATTTCTTTTCAAGCAACAACTGGAGTTACAAATATTAAATATTAATACTGGAGTTTTAGAAGTAGGTGTTAAGGATTACAAAATACATTTAACCTAATTTCCTAAAGTCAGCTAAAATCTACTAAACCCTTTACAGGTTTCATTATAATGGTAAATCTACTAGTAAGAGATGAAAAATGGTTTAGAAATAAACTCTAAGAAAAAAGGAAAAGATGTCTACACAGCTGACCAGGAAACTTAAATGTTAAAAAAAATTACATATTCATTTCATATTAGTTTTGTAATCACATTATAGCCATGCAAAATGTCTATCCTAGCCCCGTTACTAAAGGAAGGAAGAAAAGGAAGGAAGGAAGCAAGCAAGCAAGTTGAAAGTGGGGGTACACACCTGTAATCCCAGCACCTCCAAGATGGAGGCCAGCTTGTACTACACAGTGAGTTCAAGGCCAGTGTGAACTATATAGGGAATCTTGTCTAAGAAAGAAAGAAAGAAAGAAAGAAAGAAAGAAAGAAAGAAAGAAAGAAAGAAGAAAGAGCGAGCAAGCAAGCTTATAACTGATAAAGGCTCTGAATCACATTCCTTTCTTAGTTTGTTTTTTTTTAAAAACCACTTTGTGTGAGGTCCAGCAGTCCTTCCTAGTCTAGCCTCACCCTTCCTTCTTTCTCCTCCCACTGTCAGCATAGCAAAGGAGACACTTGCTATTTCTCTAAGTATAATTTTACAACTTTCAGCCTTTCCTCACATTTCCTTTGACAGAAAGGTTCTCCTTTTCTATATCTGCACAGTGAAACCTTATAAGCACACATGATCCCAAAAACTACATTTCACAAATAACATTCATTTACCAATCAAAACCCCAAACCTTTTTTTTTGTGTGTGTGTAACTGGGGATTGAACTCAGGCCCTTGCGCTTGCCAGGCAAGTGCTTATTCTACTGAGCTATCTCCCCGGCCCTAAAACCCCAAACTTTGAGAACTATTCTGAAATATTTGAATGTTTTTTAAATTATAACTAATTCTATGGTTTCTTTATGTCTGAATAATATACTTGCTATCAGATATTGCAAATATGAGTTTCATCATGGTAAAGATTAAAGAAATTCAGATTAAAAAAAAAAAAAGGTGGAGGAAACCAATTATACTTTCCTTAGTTTAGGTTCACTTGTCTTTCAGCATAAAACTGGAAATTCAATGTGCAATTTCATTCTTTCTTTCTTTTGTATTTTTTAGGGAAGGGTCTACAGGGTGTTCAGGGTCTCACTACTAGATTGGACTCGTAGTGACCTGCCTGTTTATAGCCTCCCAAGAGCTAGGATTACAGGCATGCATCACCATGCCCAGTCTCAATTGCCATCTCAGTGCACCCCAGGGGCGGGGCCAGCATGGCAGGCCTGGGGATTGAACCTTTGTACCTTGCGCCTGCTTGCAGGCACTTTAATTCACTGAGCTATTTGGTTGGCCCTAAACATCCACTGAGCTATTTGGTTGGCCCTAAACATGCAATTTCAATACAGTACCTCTTATGTACAAGTGTGGCCTATATAAATTGTAAATTTTTGCTTCATGTCTCCCATCAGGATTGCAATAATGGAATCTACTTGAGTTAAACTCATAGATCACTTAGAGTCTTTAGTGTAAACATTGAAGAGTCTGGGAAATAAGAAATAAAATTTAGTAAGAAAAATGAAAAGGCTGGTTTTTAAAAAAATTTTTAAAAAGACAAACTCCAGGCACACACACACACACACACACACACACACACAAAGATAAAATTTAAGTGAGCAGGGGTTGGGGATGTAGTTCAGCACAGTGCTTGTGTAATATGCACAAGACCCTGGGTTTTCTCCCCAGGAGAAGAAAAGTGTAAGTAGCAAAGTATTAAATAGAAAAGGGAAAATAGTATTAGACAGAGTAAATATTTAAAAACTATGAAGGAATTCTGAATAACACTGAAAACTTAGTTGAAATGGATAATTTCTTATTTGTTTTTCTGAAACAGGGTCTCATTATGTAGTTCAGGCTGTTCTTGAATTCACCATGTAGCCCAAGCTGGTCTTGAACTCTCAGCAATCCTCTTTGCCTCAGCCTCCTGAGTTCCGGGATTACAGGCATGTGCCATTACACCAGGCCTTAAATGATTTTTAATGCTCATTTTATTAGTGCAAGTTTACACCACATAATGATTATATTCATTGTGGGGAATGAATAATTTTTAACAAGAAATGCCAAAATCGATACAAGGTCCAAAATAATCTTACAGGACCTTTCTAACCAACATTCAAGAAATAAATATTTCTAAAGTTATACAGTCTTTCCAGGAAATAGAAGATGGAAAACGATATAACTCATTTAATGAGACTAGTAGAACCATGGTAACAAAATGAGTAAAATATAAGAGACTATAGGCCTGCCTCTCATGAATATAAACAAAGAATTCCTAAATAAAATGTTATTAAATCAATATAGCAATTAAGAACATGTAACAACTCATAATCAAATTAGGTTCCTTTCAGAACCTAAGTGTTCTTTTACATTACAAAATTTATCAATGTTAAAATCAGATTTATGCATTAAAAGGGGGAAAGTATAAGATCATTTCAAAATAGGAAGAGATCTTTGAGTTTGTATAAATATTTTGGTGGTTTCAAGAATGCCTGCAAATTCTTTGTGACTGTGTGCTGGACTCAGTGATTTTTTTTCCAATGGATAGATTGTGGTAGAAGTGATGCTTTGAGACTTCCAAGGTTAAGTGATAAAAGGGATAGCTTTTCTTTTTTTTGTATTTAGTATAGGGTCTACAGGATCAAAAGGGTCTCACTACACAGATCTGACTCTTAATGATCCTCCTGTTTACAGCCTCCTAAGTGCTGGGATTACAGCCCATGCCACCACACCCAGTCTGAATGGCCATCTCAGTGAGCTCTGGGGGCAGGGCTGGCACGCAGCTGCGTCTGCCTAAGCAGATGCTTTAATCCACTGAGCCATTTGGCCGGCCCTGGATAGCTTTTTTAAATGGAATTCTTTCTCAGATTGCTCATTCTAAGAAAACATGCAGCAAGGACACAAAGCAGGTGTATGGTATAGCCCACATGGAAAGGAAATCAGGCCTCTTAGGACCAAAACTAACTTGCCAGCCACGGGAATGCGACATCTTTGAGCCAAGATCTATAGTTATATCAAACCTTCAGATAACTATAGCTCTGGCTGACATCTTGACTGTGACACCTTGAGTGACCTTAAGCTAGAACCATTCAGCTGAGCCTCTACAAAATTCCTAACTTGCAGAAACTATGAGGGACAAGAGATAATAAATGTTTGTTTTGGGGGCAGGTAGGTTGATATAAGAAGAAACAGAAAAACACAAGTACACTATACCCATTAAAAACTATCAAATGGGGTATAAACCCTGTTCTACCTTGGAGAAAAAAGAAGTCCTATTCTAAGGCAGTTTTACAGTTGAATTCTATCAAGTTTTTAAAAAATTATTCCAGAAAAAAGCAAAGGAAAAGCTGCCAATTTGTTTGAAAACAATAATCATAATGACTAGTGAACATGGCTATAAGTAAACATTAGGCATATTTTTCTTTTTCTTTTTTTTTTTTTGTGGAACCGGGGATTGAACTCAGGCCCTTGCACTTGCTAGGGAAGCACTTATTCCACTGAGTCACCTCCCCGGCCCCAACATTAGGCATATTTTAATTTATGGGCATATATTCCAAAATCCTAATGAAAATATTAGCCCATCTTTTAAAAACACATGTAAAAGTTCACCTGTTACCCTAGAATGGACTATGAGTAATTAATTTGAAACACAACATACTTAGGTTAACTAACTAGAAGTAGTTAGTGAGGGAAATTTCCACTTATAGAACCTCAGCCAATAAATGTAGAAGGAATTTGTGAAACTCTATTTTATTTCTATTTTTCTTCTTCTCTTTACAATAAAATAAAAATAGAAGGAATGGTGGAATCACAAAAGCAACTTTGCAACTCCTAAATAAAAAACCTGAAGATCATCAATGAGTGTTAGTAGTATTATGTAAAAGGCTGATGAAATGAATATTCACATGGAGACAAAGTTCCATTTCCAGGTGCTACTCAATAGTCACAGGGATAACTCTAACAGAGAAACCCTGGCAATCACAATCCTAACCAAATAACCAATCTCACTTTCACTACCTTTAGCCCAACAATCAGACAAATGTTCTACTGATAAGATGTATGTAACTATTGAGCATCACTATGATATTCTTTTTTTTATTTATTTTATTTATTTTTACTATGATATTCTTGCCAATGACGTTCAGCCTGAAGTAAATCAAGCTTTTTCATCAAATTTCCAGCTTTGAGGAAATGCAAAGGATAAAGAACCAGAACCTAAATATGAAAAAGTCATCAGATGCAAACTCATGCTACAGACCAATTTCTTCATTTATTAACAAGGTAATGTCACGGGGCAAAAAGTTTCTGCATAGAGGATGTTTTAGTCTTAAAAAATTAAAACATAACTAAATGCAATATATACAGGATAGCAAGATTTTTGAGGGGAAGAAAAATGTGAAACTAGGGCAAAAAAGAAAAAGAAGAAAAAAAAAAAAAAAGAAAAGGGGATGATTTTCTATATCGACAATTTAGATAGATCCTAGGAAGCCCTCAATACTAATCATAAAGCTATGAACTATAACAAATTAACAGGCATCAACACAGAAAAAAATTTAAATTTAACTGAAAATAGAAAATGACAAGATGCAGAAGCAAAACCCAACTCCAGACCTCTAGCACACCCAGGGGCAAATCTAAGGAGCAACGAGGTAGAGGAAAACGGAGACTACCCATCCGAAATTTCTCAAATGATAGCAGCAGAATTCAAAATCAGGTACATGAGACTATGGAGGAAATCTGATCAGAAATAATTCCCATGTAAAAAAAGAGATGATGGCCATAATGAAGGTCTTACTTTGCAGATCTATAGTAAACATAGATTTTAAAAAAAATTAAGATACACTATAAAACCATATCAAACTGGGTTAATTATGTAGAATCAGATAAACAGATCCATAGTGAAACACAGGTCAGGAATGTTCACAGTAACATACTGTAGAACAAAAATAGCATCAGGTTCAGTGGAGGAAAAGATACCATTAATAAATGGTAGTGAAAAAATTAGTCACCTACATAGGGAAGAATTAATTTGGATCTCTACTTCACATTATTTTGAAAAATATAACCCACATACCTAAGAAGTAAAACTGCAGAACAGAAAAGAATTTGATATAGTTGCAGTCTACTATAGGAAAAGATTTCTTTTAAAAATGACTAACAGACAAAAGCCTCACCAAAATATATAAAAAAATTCTACAATCTTAAGATAAAGAATGCTGATCATAAACAGGCAAAAGGATATATACATTATTCTAAAAAAGGAAAACCTGACTCGTTAATAGATAGATATAAGAAGATGCAGTCAACTTCACTGTAACCGATGCATATTAAAACATTTTGGGCATCCCACTTTATATCCACCAGATGTACAAAAATTAGAATGTTAGATAATATCCAGTGATGATGTAGATATGGTGAAACAGTTTCATGCAGTGGTACTGGGAGGGTAACCTCTGAAGTCTTTCTTGAGTAGTATGCAGAACCTAAGCAAGGTTATACACAGTAATGTGGCAAGTCAATTCTTGGGCATACATCCCACAGAAACTCTTCTAGTCCTCTAAAGAAAGAATGTATTAGTTGTAATGTTGCTTACAGCAGTAAAACAGAGACAGAAGCAATCTAAGCTCACAGTACTAAGGGAATGGATAAGTAAAACATGGGATATGATAGAATAATGTGTCAGTCAGCAATAAATGGGTATGTGTGCAGCAACATAACAGAATTAGATACAAAAGTATCTTTTCTTGAAAAAATGGAACATAGTGAACAGACCCAAAGAATGTATACATGTTAAAAATGGAAGAAGGGGCTCTTAATGCGTGAGTGGAAAGGAGAATGGAAATGAAGACGGGAGAAGTAAATGAAACACACATATACAACCCTAAAGAATAATCTTTCCAGAATCACTGATGGAGGTGTACCATGAATCAAGAAACATGAACAAATGAATTCAGTTAAACTGAAGCCCTAAAAAAAAAACAAAAAACAAAAAACCAGAAGAAAAAGAAAAAAGAAGTCCTATAGAAGAAAAAAGCCAGTTGCACAGGAATTTAAAAAAAAAAAAGAAATCATCCAATGACTATAAAATTAACAGTAACAACTAATAAGCAAATGGTTCAGTTAGTAGGGTAAAAAAAAA